CGCGCGCTCACCCACGTGCGGGTGCGCGCGCGTACCCATTCGCGCGCGCGCGCGGCGGGTGCGCGCGCGCGCGGGGCGCGCACCCATGCGCGCGCACCCACGCGTAGAAATCTCCAGAATTGCGAGCATCAAGGAACAACGCGCTGGATCACCTGTCCGACGATTCATCGTGATCGGTGCTGCTTTGGTGTTGAGATGTACTCGTTCTTCCAATCAAGCATGGATGGAGTCAAGGGCGGCAAATATATCCCTTTCGACTGGTTGTGCGCAGCAATGGGCGACAAGACGACACACAAGATCTCCTTTGGATGAACTATCGCGGGATGCATTTCAGTCCAGTTCTACGAGGTCAATGGAACAATTACAACAGACTTCAGGAACAGGGACTGACCATCCAGACCCGAATCCCGCTGGCTGACGGGGAGGTGACGATCCATCCCAATTATGGGGAGAAGAAGAAGAAACCAAACCTCAATCGGATCAACGGAAAGATGGAAGCCAACCCCCAGAACGATTAGACCCTCTTTGGCAGAACGGCAAAAGACGGGCGAACGATTTGTTTGACCGGAACGCTGGGCCCTCTTCCGGATCACCGGGAGAAAGCAAAGGCAAGGGCAACAATGGCAAACAGAAGGGGAAAGGCGAAAGCAAGGACACCAAGGCAACAGGTTACGCTCCTCCTGGAGACGGGATGTGAGGGATCGCACCGACGTTCGTGACGTGTGTTGGACGGGTTACTATGACGGATGGGATGAGGACTGGTGATCAGTTTACCAGCCTATTTCCAAATGGTGCGATTGTGCGGGGGACCGTTCACCGGCCCGAAAAAAATTGCTTTGCATATCCTATTCCTTGCAGATGCTTTCTTTTTGACCAGGCATGGGGGGACCCTTGATCTACTCAACTTTCACATAGGGCACGCTGCTGAGGAGTTGTTCTCCTTGAGAGCCCAAGGTTAAGGTGTGGACGGTGAATTATACTAGCAAAGCAAATCGAGCTCGCGGAGGGTTTGCGGCTTCGAGGAAATTCGGGCATTGCAGGTTGTCTGGAGGACAACATCCACTGTTGTCGGGGATGCCAAAGACTCATATAAGATATGATATACATATATATAAACAACACACACACACACACATATATATATATATATATATATATCATGTGTGTATGCACACACGCCAGCGTGGAGGTTTTGCTGCGGTGCTTCGCACGCCAGGCGCCGCGCAAGCCCTAGGGAGAAGAAGGAGGAAGTAAAGGTGGTGGCCAGGTGCCCAGCGGCGAGCAGCTTCCACTTCGTTTAGGACAAACGGTTGCGGTCTTTGTCCAGGGTTCAGTCAGCCAGTATGACAAATCTGGCAAGTGGGGTTCAAGAGCCTGGTGGGCTCGCTTCTCACACACGTGCCTGAATCAGCAGATGCAATGTGGGGATGGGATTCCTTCTGCGGTGGGGCACAACGGGGCTCAAATGGGTCCTGGGCCATGGTCCCGCAACTCGCCCAAGGGTTGGAAGCGTTGTCTTGAGGTCCGGCTTCGCCCACCCATGGAGCAGATGAACCAATTGGCCTACTTTGTGGAGGCACATTGGCACATTGCTCGGTGCTTCCCATCCGTAAGTGATGTAAATTTGCACCTGGTTTAATATCGGTAGTCTGAATTATGTCAAGTTTCCCCGGCAAAAACACGACCCCCCCACTGTTTCGGTACCATGATTTATGTCAAGTCCGAACCCCCCAAAAATCCCGTTGAACAAATCTGACTCAAAATTCGCAATATGGGCAACTGATTTCTCCTCTCAGCTTCCAGAAGTGAAACTCTGCAAATCTTTGGTTGCTCAACCCGAGACGCTGCGGGCCTCAAAATCTAAAAGCTTAGCAAGGGACCAGGCCAAGACCTGAGCCTCTGAATTCCTGATTTGATCCCAAGCCCCAACCATCAAAATTATTTACTTAAATCCATCCAAAAACAAGCCCCAAATAGTCCTGCAAAGCCTGTTGCCCACAAAAAGGCCTGATCCTCTTTAAGGGGCACTGTTTGGGTACCATGTTTAACGTCCAGTCTTAGGGGTGGGTTAGGAATCTCCAGGTCACATCTTAGCCTCTTGCTTTTAAAAGGGGCTCCAAATCTAAAAGCTTAGCAAGGGACCAGGCCAAGACCTGAATTCCTGATTTGATCCCAAGCCCCAACCATCAAAATTCTTTGCTTAAATCCATCCAAAAACAAGCCCCAAACAGTCCTGCAAACGGGGTTGCCCACAAGGGGGGTTGGTCCTCTTTAAGGGGCACTGTTTGGGTACCATGTTTAATGTCCAGTCTTCGGGTGGCAACCCAAAAGGAAGTGCCGGCAATACTAAACCAAGTAGTGGCAGCCCAAAAGGAAGTGCTGGCAATACTAAACTAAGTAGTGGCAACCTAACAGGAAGTGCTGGCAATACTAAACCAAGTAGCGGCAATCCAAAAGGAAGTGCTGGCAATACTAAACTAAGTAGTGGCAATACCAAAGCAATACTCAAGTCACCCAAGCCCCCCGCCAAGTCCCTATTCAAGATTCCCAGGACTGTGTTGACTGTTTCAGGGGGGGGGGACCCTCACAGTAAACAAGGTCCAACATTATGAGAAATGGGGCGGTGCGTCCAAAAGGGGGCTTTTCCCCATATCTTATTCCCTTGCACCGATGTGGTTTTGGGGGCTTCTTGAACACCTGGTTTTGGTTAGAAATCTAGTCAAGGCCCACCGCGCTGCAAGGCGGACCCAACAAAGCTCTTGGGTTACAGCCAGGAGGAGAGCGGGCGCCACTCGGCTGTGCCTAGGAGCACTTGCCAGTTGCCTCCCGAAAACGGCTATGATGGGTTTGCTTCAGCACAGTCCGGGTGCATCCATGTCCAGAACAGCGAGACTTCGAAGCCCCCCAGCGGCGCAGACATGCAGGTGCTCAGGTCCCACGCCCAAGCTACGATTCGCTCCAAGGCTCGTCGCCGAGCAGGGCCTGTGTCGGGCTCCGAGGCGACATTGTCCGAGTCAAAAGCAGCCCCCCTGTGTCACTTGTGGTGGCTATGGTGGCTCAATATCGAGGCAGGCCGCAAGCGAGCTTTGGAGGGTTTGAACCGCTCTCCAAGGTGGCACCCTCGGCAAGACATGTGCTTGGCTTGTCTCAAAGCCGGGAAACCTCAAAGATGCGACGCACTTTCCTGGTTTCGCTAGCAGATCGCCCTCGAAACGGTGTGGCGACGCTTCATGTTGCCATTGCAAAAAACCGACCAGGGGCACCCTCGAAAAGACCGGCGCCTCGATGCTTGGTGCTCGCTTCCGAGGTCGAGGAGCTGCAATTCTCACGTGTGGCACATGGCTCAGCGGGCAGAAACTAGAGAGGGATGGCGGTGCCGGCGCGATGGGGCAGATTTCTGTGAGCCAAGGGCATGATGGGAATCCCCTTTGGGGGTCAGAGGTGCCGAGAGCTCGCCCAGACATGGAGATCCTACGCTCAGAAACTTGCAGAGCCAACTTGCGCAGAGACCACTATCGCAGAGAACTTGCACACAGAACTCGCGCACAGAAACTTGCACACACATCTGGAGCGCAGAGACTTGCATTGACGCTACCACTCAGAAATTTGCAGCACGGAAGCGTTACACAGAAGGGCATGCAGAAACACACATACGGCACAGAACATTCATGTGCACACAGATGCCTTGTCGCGACGTGCACCAGCATGGGTCGTACGCGAAGACAAGAACGCGTTTGATGTTGCATGCCGCGCTTGTATGTTATGCTTTGAGGCCGCGCGTTTTTCTTATGCTTTGCTTGCTTTGTGAAAAGTTCCTTTGAGTGGTGCCCCGGTGAACCTGTGAGGTGGGCCCCGAGGAGGACACGCTTCAGATGTACAGCGTGCTTGGATTGCCGCTTGGCTTTACGGTTTGAGTTGGTCTGCAAATGGGGGAGCCTCAATGGGCGCTTTCCCTGTCCTCCTTCAAAAACAGCAGGGCCTGTAATATCCTTAAAGGATACATTAAAGATCACGCATGCCTTGCGAAGCAGTTGGTTTTTGCATGTGTCCTTCAAGGAACCCGAAGCAACCTCCAAAGGAATACGACCAACGAATGGCGGGACTTTGGCTCAAGCCGGTTCGCGCGTCCCGTCTCTCAAGCTCAGGCTGGGAGTTGATTTGCGGATCCGGTGTCGTTGCCAAGATGGTTTTGACAAGTCAGATTACAGTGTAACGCCAAGGGAATACCCCTTTATATAAAGTGATCAAGTAGTCAGAGCGTGGCTTTGAGGTTGTTCTTGCTGAAGGGAATGTTGGCATATCGTGCGCAACAATGGCAATTTTTGCTGCTTGGTTTTCCTGTCAAGATACCTCTGCCAATGATTCAGTGTTGTTATCCGATGACTTGGGTCTGCCAATGATTCAGTGTTGTTATCCGATGACGTGGGCCATGCTGTTAAAAGCAGATGATACCAAGCAACCAACCCACCTGACATATGGCGCCGGGACTTTCAGCCATGTCTCTCACGAAGATTTGTTTTTATACACTCACATGTCATATGCACGTGTCTAGGTTCTCTCGCCTAGAAGAAGCGCATGCGGAATCGCATTGCGTGGAGGGCACTTGCAGGTATACATTCGCTCCAGCGTGCAGCTACATGCTTGCGCACAAGCCGTAGCACGTGCCCGCAAGTGCGCTTGTGCATAGACACGCATACAGACACGCATGCAGACGCGCATGCAGACACGCACATGGACAGCGGGACACACGGACACAAAGACACACAACACACACACACACAGACACACACACACATGCACATGCAGCTCGAATCGCAGATGCAGATGTCATGATGTGCATAGTCGTGGGTTTGAGTATTCTGAGTGCTGCTTTGCACGTGTACGTGCATGCTCAAGCATGCCGCATGCGCCTTGAACTTGGCAGGGCTGCCCGGGAGCCTTGTTGTAAGCTGGGGGCTCTCTGACAGGCACTCGCCAGTCTTTGCACCATGCTGGGCTCTTGGTGCACCAGCGCATACCTGCAGACAAACGAACCTGGTCAGTTATGTTGTGACGGTTACTCACATGTGGGTTTATTGGGCAAAGGTCTGCAGTGAACCGCAGGGCTCTCGTGAAAGATGGTTGGGAGGTTTGTGGGGTGCCCCTGATCTTCTGCCTGGATGATTCTTTTAGGTACCCTTTTGGAGTGCGCTCCATTCTCCCCCACATGTCTGCATTCATTGCCAAGTTGCAGGTCGGGCAGATACAGTGGGTGCGTGCATCTCGCATGAAACCCATGCCCCCCGCTCCATCTTCTCTTCCTCCCCTTTGCACCTCGCCCTGAAAAATCCATGGTTGGGGGACATGCGGGAGCTTACGCACACAAATGACAAAAATGCTTATGCCATGCTCAAAATGGGCCTTTACCGCACGTCTGCACCGCTCGGCGAGTCGCCCGAGGTTCGGCTACGACTGCAGCACTTGCGGCCGCGGCGACGCTGCGACCAGCACCGTGAAGGTGGACATGGAGGCGTGGCAACCCGGGGGTTCACACCAGGTCCCTAAGGGACCAAGACACTAGCCCCGCCCAGGGCCCATGGCGCCGTCCGTGAGTCCGAAGAGAGGTCTGTCAAACCCAACTACCTAGTGGGGTTTGGGATGGGCCCGGGGGAATCCTTGAGCTTGTGTGAATGTTCTACAACTGTTATACGGGGAGAATCAACCTGGCTGCATCCCCTGGAACACCTTGTTAAGGGTTCCCGGGTTCCCCAAGCATGGACTATTTTCTGGTGAGGGCCTTTTAAAGCCATTCAAAATCAACTAAGACAAATTCAGCGTGGACTCCTCTTTGGGCCCTACGAGAGTGCGATCATGGAAAACATAATTATTGTTGCTTGGCCTCGCGGCCAACTATGTCTTCCAAGTGTGCAGGGCTGATCTTCAACTCAGTTCTCCCAGTGGTTCGTTTCATATTTCTTTTTTTTTGAGTCCAGCAGCTTGGAGTGCCCTTGTTCCGGCCTGCCCTCTTTCCCACAAGGGCTTTGGAAGACGACTACATGTTGACTCCGATGAATATGCCTGGTGGACCAACAGGGGGTGGTTCCCTCTCAAATAACCCCCTCCCCCAACCTGCAACAGGCCATGTCCCGGCGCGTCGAAGAAGATGCTCGACGCTTCGCAGAGGAGGCGGAGCCCAGGGAAAATGAAGGGGGAGAACGCTGAAGCAACTGCTTTTCGGTTCCTCTTGGATCTTTTCATGTCAAGGTCACGGCATTCCCATAAGTTGGGCCCTATCCATTCCCGTAAGAAGCTTCTCCTAAAGGCACCCTTGAGAAAGAATCCATTAAGCGGGTCACTGAATCTATGCACCAAGCGATGTTGGTGATGATTGTAGTCAGTTGCCCCCACAGGCGCGCCGCACGGAAGAGAGGAGGAAGCTGGCGGAGGAAGAGGCCTGTCGGGCGGTTGCCGGGTCTTGCTGGGGTTGTGCAGGAAAAGGGAAACCGCGCCACTCCTATGTGGAGACAACACTTTCATGATTTGCTTGAGCTCCAGGCGCCTGGCGCCCGTTGGTTTTGCACTGAAATCGCAAATGCAGGTAGGTTATTTTTTGGGGGGAGTTGGGCAGCTGCCAGCTTACCAAGTTTGGGGTTTCCTTTGAGAGAGATCAATTGCGGTTTACCTTTGGGCCGTTCGCTCGCGCATCGGAGAGCCGGGCAACCTCGGAGGCTGCCCGCGCAGAGCAGGAACGAAAGATGCGGGAGTGCTGGCCTCGGCACGGGCAGTTTGGGGCAAAGCCCATCATGGCCAGGATCGTGTTGCTTTTGAACCTTCTTGTTGGTCCTCCATTTTTTCCCCCAGGGCTCAACCAAAATCTGGTGGCTCAGGGCTCAGGAACAACGAGGAAGGGACACTTGACTGTTCAATAGTCGTGACGCCTCGTGCTTGCCAAAAAGAGTGTGGACCAAAAGCCAGGTTTCCTCCGGCTTTGGCGTCGTTGACGGGTCTGGCCATTGGCCGTTGGTGAGGCGCGAGGAGCAGCGCAAGGAGCAGGAGCGCCAGGCGCAGCTGCGCCGGGACCGGGAGGAGCAGGCGGGGAGGGAGGGGTGGGGGGGGCGGGGGAAGCATTTGTTGGGCCCAGGGGTGGGTTGTTGTGGTTTGTTTTGAGGTTGTTTCTTTGGTTATGGAGAAGGCCTAGCCTTTTGGTTGATACTTCCAGCTTGTTGTTGGTTCCCCAAGAGCTGAATTTTCTCTTTTGTTTTGGGGGGAGGGCTTCCAGGGATGTTGGGGATGCCGCCTGGGCTTGTGTAATTATTCTTTTGGACTGTACTGTTTTCAGAGTAGTTCAAGCCTTGTTTGAAGTTTTCTCCCTCAGAAAGCCAACCAAAACTGATTGCCGTTCACTGCTTGGTGTGCATGTCGATCCTTTGCCCCAGCAGCGGGCTCCCTTCATTTTTGCGATGAACAATCCTGGAGTCCTGGAGGTTGTTTCCGCTTGTCACGAAAGCTAGCTTTAGCTAGCTGAAGTTTCTCCTTGCGTAAGCAAGGTAAGGGGCAATTATTTGCCCCCCCCCCCCCCCCCTCGATTCCTCCCTGGTCCATCCCCCCCCCCCGGGCAGTGGCTCAGTGTTCAGCAGTCTCGGTTTGCCCGTTTTGGACTTGGTGCTACGAACTTTTACATGTTCCACCGATTCAGCTTGTTCATTTGAGACCTCAGTCTTCTCGGTAAACCACCTCGCAAGAATCTTTGCACACGCTGCATGCAGAACCCAGAGGTGCTTTAAGACAGCTTCTGACGCCTCTCGTTGTTTTCAGTTTTCAAGGTTTGCCACGCCACCATGTGCGTTTGCGTGTCGCATCCTACGAATCTTGCCGGGCCTCTCGTTGTACACAAGCTACCTATGAATCCACTCTGTCACCGACCCATCTCATGCAACAACTGCTAGCTTTCGTTCACCCGCTCCTCAAGTTTCTGAACCAACCTGCCGGCGGATGGCATCCAGTTTGCAAGGAGCGCGAAGCACGCCGGCGCCCCAGCACCCGAGGGCCGAACGAATCCTTTGTGCGCAGAGGGGGAGATGCGGTGAAATGCTGATGTAGTCAATCAGGGACCCATGCATCAAGGGTTGCCACAACTTTCGGGCAACAGCCGTTGGGGGCCTTGATTTGCAGCTTGCAGACACCCCCCCGTCACGAGGCCGTCGGGCACAGGAGGCTGAGCAGAAAGAACGGGAGGCCTGCGGGGTGGGCTCCTTGATGCGAAGAATCGGCTTGCAGCAAAGAGGTTAGAACAGAAGAAGCCAGAGACAAGCTCCACTTCATTTTCCTGTTTGGGTTTGGGTGCTCAGCGCATCACCGTTGGGCAGGCCGTTCAGGTTTCCAGCCAGGATGGCATTTGGAGCAGCGGTGCAGCATTTTCTCAATACAGTGAGTCAGAATGTGCATGTGTCAAATGTTGCCATTGAAGCAACACATTCTTTTTGCAACGAAGTTGGTACGTTGTCACACACACACAACGAAATTGGTGCCCACTACATCGGCAAACTGCGATTTGAGGATGATGTGAGTACTCTGAAAGCTGGAGGATGCTTGACCGTTCAAAGGGACACGTGCTGCCGCCATTTCTGTGTGTGTGTGTGTGTGCGCGCACTGTATTCTGCGCACAGTTGCAGGAAGTATTTAACGCGGGAAACCTGGAACCCTTGACAAACAAGGATCCCATCCCGTAGAACAGCAGTTCAGGACCCTGTTGGGCACGTTGGGATGAGCAAAGTGCCTGGCTTCCCACCTGGTTTGGCAGTTCCTACCGGCTCGACCGATCCTTTTGTCATGGTTACAAGCTTCTTTTTTGCCCATGCCAAGGAGTATATGTATATATGCAATTATATGTCTATATAGATAAATATATATATATATATTTGCTTTCCTTTGATCTCTTAGTGCTTTCCTTTGCTTTTGGTTTGAGCATCATGTAATTTGCCGTGGGCTGAGGCGTCTTCCAACATCAAATAGGTCTCTATAGTAGCTAGTGCATCCGATTTAGAAAGCACACACACACACACACACACACACGCACCCAATTTCTCAGCATTTGTTCGCGCTCTCCCGGATGAAAAAAGACAGGTGATGTCAGTGCCAGAAACATCTGTCTTGAGGCTTGGATGTTTTTCGGTAATTTTACATTCTGAGGTCTCAATCACGTACCCCTGCTCCTAGTTTACTCCTCATCTATCTCATGTTTCTCTTAGGGCATTTTGTCTTTTTTGTGGCATGTATGATTGGCACCTACTCGGGTGCGTGGTGGAGCCCCCTTAGGTTGGCACAAACTCTTGCGATGGTCCGGCGAGGAGCGCCAGAAGGAGGTCCAGGCGTTTTTGAAGCTGCATGGCTTCACGGCTGTGTCAGGCCGGATGGCCTGGGCAGACAGGGATGGAAGGCCGCGCATGGAAACCGATGTGGCCCATGCCCGCTGTCAACGTCTACTTATGGATGACTCATGCACGGCGCAAACTCGGGTCCTCATATTCTGCTTTGGGGTGCTAAAGCTTGACCTTTTGGATGCGTTCCCTTGCGTTCCCTTGCGTTCCCTTGCGGTGGGGATGGTGGGGTGATGTTTACTCTAAAAAGGAACACCGGACAGACCGGACACCTAGGAACCGTGCCAAACCGGAATCTTCTCGGTGCAGGTGCTAAGAAGTCGTTCATGAGCAGCACCTATCCGCTCCACAAGGCCGCAATGCAAAGTGTCGTGGCTTCGTGGCTGGTTGAGGCCATGTGTGCTGTAGTAGCACGGCTGCCATGGGCACACACACACGCACATGCGCACACACGTGTCACTTGGCAGCCATGAAGGCGCCTGCTCGTGTTTCCGTTGCTCGAGGATCGCGGCGCTGCCGTTTGAAGCCTTGCTCAGGCAGCAGAACTTGGGGATGCGCATATGGCCGGTGCCTGAGAGTCTAATGCACCTGACCATTCAAGACAATATTTGGAGGCGTACCGGAGTCAACACCAAACTCTCATATAGTTACCAAACTCTCGAATAGTTGATTTCTTTCTTGTCGATCTTTCATTCGCCTCCCACCAACCACGTGGAACCTGACAAAAGAAGGCTGCTGGAAGACAGTGTTCTCGTGCACCTTTGGGTGCATTCCCTTTGGGATGGGAGGGAAAGTGTTTTTCTGAGTGGGCGACTTTGCCAGAAGTTGCTGGAGCCCAGGCTGGCAGACTCAGTTTGAGGTCACACGGGCCATGTCAAACAGAATTACAAGCGACGGTCTGCAGGGTCATCGCTTCAGTTCACCTTGGCCTCAAATGGGTGTTGCACTTTCATTGCGGCATCTCAGCTACGCCACCCTTCACATGGTACATGCCCGCTTTCCGAATTCTTCTTTCTGAAGGCCAACATTGGTGCGACATTTGCAGCGCAGCTCGCAATTCTCCCGCTTGATTGCCAACGTCTTGCCAGAGCGAAGTGTGCTCTTCTTGGCATCTTTTTCGACAAAGGTGCAAAAGGCTGTTTCCTTTTTTGCTTTCCTTTATCGATGTGAAAAGGGTTTCACCAAAAACACGCGATATGAAGATACCCGAGGTGGATCAGCTTTTGAAGTCGGGCGCCACTGCGACGCAGAAGAACTCTTCGGGGCGGACGCCGGCACAGGTGGCGGCCAAGAAGGCAACGGGGAGCAACGGGGGGGTGGGAGGGGAGGGAGGGTGGGATGGGTGGGGGCAGGAGGGGCGTTCCCTGTTTTCTTAATTTGTACGCAGGCTACCTTTGGCTCCTCATGAACAGTTCGCGCATTCGGATTCGGCGGAGGGAAGTGGGGGTTGATTTTCGGCCATGCTTTATGAGCGCGGCTTGCCAATGGGAGGGTTCAAAGGACGAACATGAACCGCGACTAGTGAATGGATTCTTGGGCTGGTCCAAGAAGTTACTCTGAGTGTTTTGGGCGGAACTGTCCAAAGGAACGACTGTGTTTTGTGACTCTCCACAGATTCCACCAAAAGCCAGACAGGATTTTGATGTCCGTAGCCTGTGCACAGGTCAAGCGAAACATTAGGGTCCCTGCTGTCGAAACCTCTTAGGGTGTGGGGCAGCCTTGGTTTTGTCCCCTGCAGTGAGTGAACATAGATGGCACAACTCCATCTTCGTTTAGTCATCTGTCTGGGAGCGGAGGACCGAAAGGGCTCCCACAGCGCGGTGCTCTCCGTGCTGACCCAGACCCAGGCGTGGTTTGATCGGGATTACGAGGCTTCGTGTATGGAACAACTGGGATCGGGAAATGTGTTTTGCGACAAGCCAGGGTAGACATATTTTATTTTGCCTCGGAAAGGGGGGTTCGGACCCTCGCCAGCAAGGAACCCTTGCTTGATCATGGTGCATCGCCTTGTCTTGCCCAGGAACTATTGGGCCCTTTTTTCGGCCCATGGTACCCTGTCGAAAGCCATTTTAGAGACTTGGTGCTTCTCTTGCTTGGCGCCCTCAACGCACACTAAGCAGGCATGCTTTTGGATGTCGTAGGGGCAGCATCCAGGTGCGAAGTTCGTGCTTGTTGTCCAGGGACTCTACCACCACCCCCCAAAGAGCCTTCCAAGGATGGAGGGGCTTGATCCGACCTGCATCCATGGAACACTCTGCAGGCCACAGCCGTTGGCGGGGCCTGAGGCGCAGACCAGTCCGACACTTTGCACCACATGCTCAAGTTGACCTTTGGCAAGGAAGGGGCAAGTCAAGCAGGCCTTGTAAAGATGATAAAGTTGGACAACTTTGTCCATCAAAGCAATGATTTGCAAGTCATGACAGCTGCATTCCTTGTCAGATGCAGACTTCCAAGTATATTTTAAGGGCTGCAAGGATGCACACCCTGCTCTCTACTCTCTCTGTAGTGCTGCCTGCGAGCATCTCTTGCAATATTTCGTTCTTTTTGGGGGTATGGGGTGCTGTGGTAGCGCAAACATGCTTGTGTTGCTCTGTCTTTGTGCGACACCCTGTGCTGCTCACAGCACAGGTCTCTGGGAAACGCGGTAAGCAGGCCAACATAGGACACGCATCGCAATCTGTATGGGTTTTGGAGGCGAGGTTTGTAAACTGCTAAAGTCTCGTATGGCACTTCACCCAACTTCTACCTGCCTCCACACATCGCCAGGCAGCCGGAGATGCTTCGCAGACGCTTAGAAAGCGCCAAGGGGCGCTTTCTGGAGCTTGCAGCGAGTTGAAAGGTGCACCGCAAGCTTTCCTTTCTGACAGTCCAGCGGGCCTGGAACAGCACGAGATTTGAATATCCACACCTGCATGTCTACGGGCAAGGTCTGCCAAGGCGTGCTTATTGCCTGTAACGCATCTTGGTGTTCTGGCCACTGGGCTGCTGTCTTAATTGGGCGAAAGGGCACGAACGCTGCCGCCTCTAATAGAATTCGCAGGGCTCCGGTTTGCTGCCTTCCCTGTCATGCTCAAGTCGCGTTCGAAGGATCTGTTGCATTTCTTGTGGGCTGGGGCTCACTGGCTGACACCCGAAGATGCGACAGAGTCTTGTGAGCAGTTGCAGCTTGGTCTCAAGTGGCAAGCCATCCGGCCGTGGGCCTTTGGATAATCCAACTTCCACAAAAGGATTCCAACTTTGGACCTTTTTGCGCTGTGGGCTTTTGGGGGCCAGGGAGCGGCACGTGGAGCCCTGTTGTGGAATAGCGCGCCGGCCCTGTGGGCTTCGACCTTTAGCGCAGGCAAAAGGAGGGAGCTCCAAGGAGAACTTGTGCCCTGAAATGGGTTCCTCGGCCGGTCTGGTGCAAAGCGCAAGTTGTAGCCCTTTGACCTCAAGCGGCCAAACGGGAGGTTGGGCCCGCAGGACACCATCTCATGTCGCATTCAATTCCCCACCAGTGCCACAAGGAAGGGCCTCATCGGCGGCATCACGGACGGCTTTCAGGAGACCGCGCGGGCTCCTGGTGCCCATGTGGGCCAAGTTGCTGATGGGCCAAGTTGCCCCCCCTGGTCTGAGCTTCGCAAGCAACACAGCGGTAGAAGACAGGAAGTACACATATTGACATCGCCTGTTACTAAATGGATTAGGTGCTTCTGACCGCTTGCCGTGTCTTTGTCCCGCAAGCTGGCCTCGAAGAGGCATTGTGAGCTTTGTACCTGGAAGAGGTGGGTGGGTGGTAAGATTTGGCACAACAGTGGGCGCCCCATCGCCACTGAACGGAGTGTAGCAAATTTGGACCCAGCATTGATAAGCCGGGATGTCTCATACAAGAGGAATTCCGTCACTGTTTGGGGGAAAGGAACATTGACCCTTTTTGGGGTCCCCTGTTTTGACGCGTAGGTCGATTCCAGGGTCGACATGTGCGGCATGCCGTCCAGGTCTTCGCATATGGCCAGACGGGCAGCGGCAAGACCCATACCATCCTCGGGTCCCCACAGGAGCTCGGGCTGCCAGGAGCCCAGAAGAGTGATGTGCCCTTCTCACAGGAATACAGCGCGATACATTGAGTAGAAAAAGCTGAACCACTGAACAACACAGAGAACAACAACGACTGTTGTGCGCCCACTGAAACGAAGCGCGACCAATATACACCATAGGTACATAATGGTTACAGATGATTTCCTATGGTACGTTACGCAAACCGTCAAGCTGTGCACGCACTAAGTTCAATCGTCGGGGATCTAAGTACCAAGGCTCCCGAGCTCCCGGCTCCCGAGCTTCCGGCAACCTATATTTGCACCTGCACACCACCAAAAGGATCTCGCTGCAAATGTGATGTTTTCAGCCCAAAGAGGAAATCTGGGGAACCCTGAGTGTGCTTTCTTTCCTTTAGCTAAATGTGAAATAGAAGATGTTTTTCGGTGTATGCGGGGGTTGGGCCAAGCCTTGCCAAAAGCAACAAGCTTTGGATCTTTTGGTTCTCCCGCAGTTTGGTCGATCTTTTGGGGTCTGAAAGGTTTGCCCTCTACTTCCAAGTGCTTTGCGCAAGTGAGCTACAGTTGGGGAATCCTGCGGGATTAGATCGCAGGCAAGAATTGATGGATGCTCTCGTGCCTTATTTATTTGATGTTGTTGCGGCCCTGTAGGCTGCAGCTCTGCGCAAAGGAGCTCTTTGCTGCCGTCTTTGCCACCGGGGCCGGGGTGGGTGGGATTGGGCAGTTGTCACTGCAAAGGGGGGGAGGACAGGTTAGGATTCGGGCTTTCCTGGGCTACCCCCTAGTGAAGTTGACAGCTTCAAGTTGGTAGTCTACGCTTGCGACAAAATTTGGGCTTGGCCGCTTCAAAAGGTGGCCGCTTTAAAAGGGTGTGGGCATGTAAGGGGCTGAGATGTAGACTTGAGATTTGGCAGATTCTTGACATCACGTGTCATTCAAGCGAACACCCTAAAGGATCAACCGTTCATACTTTGCATAGGGAGGAGCATGTCATTTTTGGCCAATTTGGGGGGCAAATATGCGGAGCTCAGGGGGCCAAGGCCTGTGACTCAAGACTCAGCCGTCAGAGTCTGACCTGGTTGTTGGTTGGCCCCTCGTCGTGCATCAACCTGCAAAGCACGGCAGACGCCCTAAACCCCTAAACGTTGCAGGCAAGGGAACAAGGAGCACCCCGCAAGTTACCACAAGGTTCGCTTGATTCACTTGCAATAATAAGTGCGCTCATTTCTGAACTTCTAGTCAAGCCAACCCGGTGGATCTCATTTTGCTAGGTCCCATATCTCAAACCTGCGAACCCAGCGAGGCGGAGGAAAAGCACCGCAGAGTGCAGCTCGCACGGATGCTCAGGGGGTGGGCTAGTTTTATGGCTTAGTGTGCAGCTGATATGTGTGCTGCCCCGATGCGTGGCTGGTTTTGGTGTTGCGATTTGTGGTTTGGCTTTTGTGTAGCCGAAAAGGGGATGGCACCTTCGCGTCCAAATCGCCAAGCCCTGTTTGGCGGGGCATTTTTACCCCGGGCCAGTGTCCCTTTCCTGTTTCCGAGTCGCAGCCGTTCAACGAGGTCTGCCTGGAGATCAAAAACGATGAGGTCCTCAACCTCCTCCCAGCCGGTGGCCCCAGAGCAGGTCTGCTTTGCCAGTGCTGGCCCTGGAGACATCGAATTTTGAAGGATCTTGTACGTGCGTTCCTTGTGGATGCCAACCCCCTTGAACAGTTTGCCTTAAATTCCACGTCCGGCTTCCATGGGAATTGTCAGCAGCGCCGCAGGAGGGAAATGCTACTGCAAGCCAGGAGCCATGGCGTTGGAAAGGGGCTGCGTGCAAGCCGGCAAACAGGTTGGGCAGGTGTTGGGCTATTCAAAGGCAATCCTTAATCCTTCTCTTGGGTTGCACAAAAGGCGCACTTCGTAGTGGTCACTGATTTCGAACGGCCCAGAAAGCGAGCTTTTTGGCATGGCGAGCCCGGGTCAGTCGTTGCTTTGGGTAAGATCCTGCTGTCCATGCGACACGCAGATTTGAGTTTGCAACCATCCTCTCTGGGGGATTGTTTCGGTTAACGCTAAAACGTGGACTTGCGTCGCCTTGGCCCCCGCCTGCGAGGAGGCCGACATCTTCTGCCACAAAGGCCCAACTCTGATGGAACCCATGGCCATGGTGGCCGCGTCAAAAGGGCTGCGGCCCTGATGGCCCTGCAGAGGTTCTGGTGAATGCCTAAAATGAATGCAACCAGACCTTGAGCAACATTAGTAATAGCAATCCTAGTAGCAATGAGGTGCATGTCAAGCTGCTCAGCATGAGCGCTGCAGTCAGAAGCATTGCAACTTATTTTGCTCCATTTTTGTTATGGCCCCAATGGTTGATCTCTTGTTTGTGGGTCCTTTGGGCAACTGAGTGGAGCCAACTTGTTTGGCCGTCGCGCTGTTTCCGTTTGGATGCTGACAATCCTGTAACGTTACCTGTGGGCAGGCAGAAACTCGTGCGGGTGTGTGCCCTTGCGCATGCATGCGGCTGGTTTGCCAGGCCGGCGCTATGGCTATCAGCGGGTGACAGCAAGGGCCTTGTCCGCGCAGTCAGCGGGGCCTTCTTTCCAGTTCTCAAGCCTGTCTTTCACATCTCTTGTCAAGCTTGAGTGTTGGAAGGGCGCAGAGACTTGCTTCAAGGTTTGGAGTTACGAGGAGGCCGGGTGGGGTGGTGCGAGGGGAGCTTTCTGCCCGCATTCAAGGGGGCAAGGAAGTTGGCTCTAGAGCCCCGGAAGCACGGTTTGCAATCCTTTGGAGTGTGAGGGACTGTTGGTGAGATGCTAGGCCGGCATGCGAAGATAATGTTTGAACCAGGAAGAACCCCAACCTCAGTCTCGCAGGCGGCACACGTCACAGTGTCTAATGCTTTTCGTTAGCCATGAGCGGGAAAACGCCTATTTGCCTTCACCTTCGCGAACATTGTCATGGACGATGCTTGTCCAACTCCACAATTCTAATGACAAGTGAGGCAGCACCTTGTCTGAGCTTGTCAGACCATGGTGCTGCTGCAGCAAGCCATCGCTAGCCGGGAGGTTGGCAGCCGGGGCCTTGACTGGACCTTGGAGTGGATGTCTCGGAAACATGAACCCCTGTTTTCGGGATGGCGTGGGGAAGGAAACGCAACAAGTGACTGATTGCCTGGAATGCACACCTTGGTGCGCCGCCCACTTGCGGAATGTTCCACTTTTTGCACTGTCTTAAGTCATTTCGATGGTTCATGTGTGCGACCGCAGTCCGGGAAAGACCACTGTCATCGGTTTAGACTTGCGGGCTCGCAAAGGGGACCACGCAGAAAGCAGCTTGCTCGATATGCAATAATATGTTTGTCGCTTTCTCCATGGTCCCTGGTCCAACGCCGGACGCTTTCGAGGCTCCTACGTGAACTCTGAAAGCTCGCCTGTCACCAAGCCAGACTCAGAAGACTTGAACTGGGCAATGGTTAAAGTCTGTTCAACACATTCACCCACAGCCTATGCCAATGCAAGGGGCTAGCTTCGTTTTTGTCGCGTGCCCGCATTTGCTCAAGTACGGTTGGGAGGCGCAAGCTTGGGCCATGGCGCTGGTAGTTCCCGGCGCTCTCCCGCTGCCCGGGGCCGCACATGTTTGGCGGCAGCCCGGGGCTGCGAGGCCACAAGCCCAGCATTTGCGGAGCGGGCGAAGCGGGCTGGGAGCCTTGGCTGGCCTGGGATGGGCTGGCTTAAGGCGCACTAGAATACCGGCACGGGCCAAGCCGAAGCCGGATCCCAGCACGTATGTGCCAGTGCTGCTCGAGATGCCGGAGGGCCAGACGTACCAGATTGAGGCGCATCCCCCAAATCAATTCATCAATGTATAGTATAGGATTGCGATCGTAGGGCGCGGTGTTTTCGAAGGGGTTGTTGGCTTCTGAGTCGAGGCACGTCCGGTGGACACGGTGAAGATCCTGAAGGCCGTGCTGAACCTTGAGCTGGGCCTGTCGGAAGCGGCCATGGATCTGAGCTTCGACGGGAAGACGCTGGAGGAACCCACAAATCCAGTTCTGACACCCCTATGGTGCCCCAAAAGTAGTTTGAACAAGCGGATTTGAAGGGAAATGAGAAGGTGGAGGGAAATGAGAAGGTGGCGGTTCAAACAATACGGGCTCAAGCAAAGGTGGTTGCTCAAACAGTCCAAAGCTGACATGTTTCACAACCCCCTTGTTCAAGCCATGGTTTAAACATGAAAGTGGCTGGCCGCAGGACGACCTGCCGCTCTCGGAGATTGATTTGAAGGAGGGCACCAAACTGCAGCTGAGCCTGCGGGAGCTAGACGAGGAGGAGCTGGAAGCAGAGGCGGCCACTGGGGTGCGCATCTTCATCAAGGCGCGTCTCAAAATGGGCGAGCCAGAGGGTCGACCCCTTTGAGGTTGTTTTAGCAGGTTGCCAACATCAAAGTCATTTTTGTAGGTCCCCCTGCTCTGACACATCCGTCACATACCCACTTGAATGAGGCACATTACACACATGATTAAGTCAAGGTTAATGAGGGGCAATCCCAACCATACAATAGTGAGGTGTTGACGGCGACTCAAATGAGGTCTGTTCCCCGGACCCAAACCTTGTGTGGAGTTGGCCTTGATCATTCTTTTGCTTCAGCGGGTTTTGAACAAAGCTTAACATGGGACTATGGTGTCCCTTCTTTTTGTGGCTTCCCTTGCAGCCACCTCCCCCCAAAAAGTGGCACCAAGCCTCAAACCGCTGAAAGTTACCCCCCTGAAACTTGCCAACATGGACTTCCCCAAGCCTTGAAAGAGCCACACCTGAGCTACCATCGACACCCGAGTGATGAAGGGCAAAGGGGTCAGTAAACGATGCGGATACCCCCCTTCTTGATTCTTCACATGCTGGGTCAGCACCTTAGTTCAGGTTCTGATTTTGCCTCACCTGAGTTCTCAAGCTGCTAAACCTTTTTCTTGGTGCGCATCTGAGGGCCCCAAAAAGTGGACGCCCACGATTCCAAGCTTTTTCCTCCCCTTGACACGGATCTGCGTGAACTTCTGAAAGTTTTGAGGTGGACAGCCAGGGCAAGCCCACGAAGCTCACCCTGGACCTGGACCCCGAGGAGCGCATCGAGGACGTGAAGCTGGAGGCCTACGAGCAGTTCCGGGACAAGGCTGGGGGGGGGGGGGTTCTGGTGGTTTGGGTCAGGTGTTCCTCCTCCCCCCCCCCCCACACCGGGGGGGCAACTGACCGTCCCATTCAAAGGGCTCTTCGGATTTTTTTTGTGAGGGAGGATCGTCTGGGCCAACCCTTTGTTTAAGCGGGTTCAAATAGAAAAGTTCTCGCGTAGAAACTACTTTTGCCCAACTCTGGCAGGTGCCCTTCTTGTGCGACTTGGCACCCAGGCACTACGGGCTGTTCCTGCTGGATGGGGTGCCGGTGGCCGACTCCAGGGGCAACCTGCGGTATCTGAAGAAGAGCGAGATGCTGAAGGACGACCAGACGGTGGCCGAGAGCGGCTTGGAGGGGGGGGAGGAAGTGACCTTCGCCAACCTCATGTGGCTCGACAGGACAAGCTGAGCCTTGAGCCTTGAGCGGCACTTGTTTCAAGTGTGCCTTTGTAGTCGAGTCAGCGGAGGAATATGGCAAGTGCAAAACCGAAGCCATGACAAGTGAGATTGATTGGCGCCTCTTCCCCTCAGCCTTGATCCTTGTCACTGCTGCTCTCCTGCCCTCCTGTGTTGGCAGATGTTTACAGCGGCTGCTTCTGCAGAATGGAGGGCACTGTTAGTTCTGCCGATCACTATCTTGGTTGTTTGGCCTCCACATGCTTTGTAGGTGAAAACTCGGCTTTCGCGCGCGTTGGTTTGATGCAGCTATCAGACGGTCTCGCAATGCAACTCTCCCAAGCCCAGGCGATCGCATATGCTTGTCCGCTTCCTTGCCGACGCCCCAGCTGCACAGCCAGTTTTCGCCGGAATGCCACATGTTAACTTATTAATCCGGAGGAATACTCACATCAGGGGTGGTTCCCCTTTAAGTGGGGGACTTATTCGTCCCAGGTGGTTCCTAGGATTCGTCTGGTCCTCTGGATTGATCCGTTGACATTCATGTGGACCGCCCGGGCATTCTGAAATCTTGGAAAAGGGTGGAAGGCTTATGGTCGACTCACGTGCCTGTGGAATGCCCATTTTGGCTCAAGTCGGCAGCACGGGGCTTTGCACTTGAACTCTGCTCTCATGAAAGAGGGTGCCAGGCTCCTGTTTCTGGCAGTCCTTCTGCCAGAGCTGGGGCAGAGCCTTGAGAGTGCGGAGCAAAGCTCAAGCAATGAATCCACCAAGTACCATAGTAAGCTGGCAAACCCATTTGGAGATGTCACCCAAAAGCAGGATCCCTGGACAACAGGCGAGACAGGAAAGTTTGAGACAGTTGCTGAGCTCCAGCTCAAGAATGTAGAGCGCCAAGGCAATTTGACAGTGGATGAGCTTGACACTGCTGAGGAGCTTGACAATGCCACTGAGGAGCTTGACAATGCCACTGAGGAGCTTGACAATGCCACTGAGGAGCGTGACAATGCCACTGAGGAGCTTAACAATGCCGCTGAGGAAGCAAGTTTGACGTTTGACGAAGTCGAACATGGGACTCAGGAGCTTGGCTACGAAGAGCTGGGGAGTGAGAAGTTGAGGTCATTGCTGCTTGACAGGAGGAGACGCGCTTCGGGAATATCTGCAGGAATATCTTCTAGGAGAAGGGCTCCAACTTTCACGCGGAGAAGAGCTCTAACTTCTCCCAGGAGGAGGGCAATCACTTTTCCCAGGAGAAGAGCCCTAACTTCGCCAAGGAGAAGGGCTCCAAGCTTTCCAAGGAGAAGAGAGCCTGCATCTCCAAGGAGAAGAGTGCTGGTCTCTCCCAGAAGACGAGCTCTGCAGCCGCGGAGAAGGGCCCTGCAGCCGCGGAGAAGGGCCCTGCAGCCCCGGAGACGAGCTACCGACCCAATTCGGAGAAGGGTGACTGATGTCCACAGAAGAAGGAGGTCCAGGAGAAGGAGCATTCCTCCCATCCCGAGCAGGAGGCGGGAAGCTGACGTTTGCTACAAATGGGTGACCTGTAATAACGGCTACTACTATGGGATTCCTTGTGGACGAGACAACAGATACTGCCTGCAATGGCGCTGAAGTGCTGCATGGCTTTTTTGTGTACAGCAGCCACATCTTGGCATTTTGTGTTCTTCTGACAAATTGAAAGACGACGGCTTCTGCTTTTGCACCTGAAACGGCCAACGGCTTGTACAGATTGGGCGACACTCTTTGCGCCAGCGACGCACGCAAGGGTGCAGCCATAGGGTTCATGGGAGCTGGGAACCTGGCGGGTAAAACAAGCGGTCGACTGGTGCCGTGCCAACTTCGTACTGATGGACAAGACAATTGGCATCACTCAACCTAGGAAGGATACACCACATACCAACTGGTGTCAATCCACAGAATTGTTTGTTTGCCACTTTGCTTTTCTGAATCGGACCAAGGTGCTTGGGCTTGACAATGTACTTGGCCAAGCTGAGGTGAAGACGCTGAGGGCCGAGCACGGCCAGCTGGCAGAGGGCGTTGTGGGCAGCAGTGGGCCCAAGACAAGGTTCTGGGTGGGCTCCCACCGGCTTATCGCTCCCCCAATGCTTCGGACGCACCGTTGCATGTGAGGCTTGACTCTCGTGGATCTGGCGGGGAACGAGCGCGAGAGCGGCGGGAAGCCCAAGTTGCATCAGACTTCGAATCCTGAAGGCCAGGATTTGTTAAATGCACCAAAGTTCCGGCATGTCCCCTAGTTGTGGCCGAGGCACCAACGGCACGGCCATCAACGTCGGGGTGCTCGGCAATAGCGTCTCCTTTTGAAACCAGGCAAAAAAGGATGCTCCCTTGTTTCTGGAGGTGTTTATTCTTTGAGAACCGTCCATGTGATCATGAGAGCCTCACCTGCTTGTGATTGGGCGGGGGGTTTGCTCACCCGGACGCCAGGTGTCACTGACGCACTTAAACCGCATGCTCGTGAAGATGCAGGATCGCCAGTTGGATGAGTGGGAGCCCCAGATTTGTCAAGGCCCCGGAACCAGCCCCCGGTAGTGAATTTGTAGGATAGGCCTAGTGCACGTGGCACCTCACGAGGTCTGGTTAGCAAGCCGCGAGTTTCTGGGCAGCGGTTCAGCCTGTGGGGAGACATCAAGCCTGGCTAAAGTGCTTGGTACGTTGTCAATGCACGCCATTGAGTGGTCCTTTCAAAGAATCTGCGCTTGACATTGAGCTAAACGACCTGAATGGTCCAACGTCGGGAATCTGTTGAGAGATGTGCTGCGCTTGCTGATTGCTTGGCGTTTCGCAGCCACGCTACTTTGGATTTATGCAACTGTACAGCCTTACCCATGCCCCTAGCCAAGCACGAATGACTGGAGCATGGTTCTTCCAAGCCAAGGGAAACCAGCTAAAATGCCTTTCTTGTGCGCAGATCTGGGGTACCAGTGCTCACAGTCAAACCCTTGGCTCTGCAACCGTTCGGTGCCGGGCTGCGCCCTTCCGAGCCATGGAGTCATCGGAGGAGGTTGTGGTGACGGCGCGGATGCCCAGGGTGGTGTGCAATCGGGTGGCGTCTTGATCTTTTCACTGTTTCCTCAGCCTGACTGTGGAGGAAAAGGCTGTTGAGGTTCGTTGGGGCAAAGGCCCATAGACTGCCATGCGCACGAGAGGCGTCTTGTGGCTTGAGGTCCTGTCCATTGCTGGAAACGAGCTTTGCTCAGCGCGGGCTCCCAGCCTTTCAGCCACTTGATGTTCTAGGCAAGCATGGGAGACTTTCAGATGTCGCATTTGGGGCCCCCAAACAGTGTGAATACCCCAAAAAAAACCAACGTCAAGAGCAAGGCGTGGTGTCTCGATCCTGGTGCCGACGGACGTCTCACGTATTTGAGTTGTGCCAGCTCGTGCAAAAGTTCCCTCTGGAATCCTCATTGTTGATTTCGGCTGCACAGGATGGCATGGAATGAAGTGACATGAAGCCTTTGGTCGCATGAAATGGTTCAAGGGTGCGCTCTCGCTGTGGTGCCGTGCAAATTCCGGAAATTGTGAATTGGTGCAACCCTCGGTTTAGCGCGGTGCAAAGTTCGAACATCGAAATCTTGAGCATCGAAAGTGGGCCCAGTTCTTTTTCAATAGGTTGTGTAGAGGCTGCTCCCTGCAGATGTCCTTTCCGCGTGAGAGATCTTGAAGAGGATGCTTTCTACAATCCTGGGCATCGATCACGAAAGCTAGCTTTAGCTAGCTGAAGTTTCTCCTTGCGTAAGCAAGGTAAGGGGCTCAACTGCCGAAAGATGGATTTTTTCAATTATTTGAGCCGAAAAGATTGAACAAAATCAATTATTTAGACCCCCCCCCCTCCTCCCCCCCCCCGTCTCAGGCTCGATTCCTCCTTGGTCCACCCCTCCCCCCGGCTCAGTGTTTCAGCAGTCTCGGTTTGCCCGTTTTGGACTTGGTGCTACGAACTTTTACATGTTCCACCGATTCAGCTTGTTCATTTGAGATTTCAGTCTTCTCAGTAAACCACCTCGCAAGAATCTTTGCACACGCAGCATGCAGAACCCAGAGGTGCTTTAAGACAGCTTCTGACGCCTCTCGTTGTTTTCATTTTTCAAGGTTTGCCACGCCACCATGTGCGTTTGCGTGTCGCATCCTACGAGTCTTGCCGAGCCTCTCGTTGTACACAAGCTACCTATGAATCCACTCTGTCACCGACCCATCTCATGCAACAACTGCCAGCTTTCGTTCACCCGCTCCTCAAGTTTTGTACATAGACGATCCTTGCTTGGATCCTGCACACAGGTCTTTCCAAGAGATCCTATCCAGGGATCCTGCGCGCAGATTTGCCGAGTTTTGCGCAGGGATCCGGAGTCCTGTAATATTCCTGCCGAACATATCTTGTCTTGAAAGAAAGCACCTGCAAGTGCCAGGTCAAGCTGCCGAGGGCCTCCACCCTCCAAAGCATCAAGGAGGAGGCGGGCTGTGGGGCAGCCATTGCAAGCGTCCAGCTATGGTGAGCGCGTTTCACGCCGTTCGATTGCGGTTTGCTATGGCGGTCTGGAATCGTTGGCTCTCAATTCAATCATGCGTCACCCATGGGGAAGGGGGTGTGGTTGGTGCTCGGTCTTCGGACAGATCTCCCGCGCTGTGAATTGCAACGTCACTGGGAGTGACCTCCTTTGCTTCAATGACGAGACCTGGGAGGCGGGTCCTGATGAGATTAGCCAGACGAACCATTATGGCCCTATGACTCTATGACTCTTTGGGTTGCTGGCTTTTATGACCCTGATGGTGGCCTTTTTGGCACGCATTGCCTCATGCAGTGATTGCCTAATGGGATCTAATGGGGTATTTCGCGAGCCGTGCCGTTGGCAAAGACTAGCTGCGGCGTGGTCTCTAGCTAAAGGGACCCCTTCAAAATGGATGGTTTCGTTATGTTTCCCTTGCACCTTCCAAAAAGGGGCACCGTCAAGCTTGGTTGCTCATTGGGTCGACCTGTAACCAGACCTTGAGAACATGTTTTCCTTTTTCGCCCCCACTCACCAACAACAAACATGGGGTCAAGGACCCGGGCGAAGCCGCATCCACTGAACCGCTTGGTGGCAGGTGCCGAGCATGCAGCCCTTGCAGCCGATCGATGCCTCCAGGGTCGCCGCTTGAACGCAGAGTTGGGGAGAATAGAAGCGAGGGGGACGATATCCATGAAGGAGTACGGGCTGATCCTTGTCGAGAACAAATACAAAGGTTTGTTTCTTTCTCACACCCAAAAGCCTTTTGGGGGTTGAAGGAGAAGCAGAAAGGACACCGCGAATGTTCAAGGTTATTTAGGCGCAAGCGCATGCATGTCGTCAGGACTTCGCGCTTGCATCGGGCCGTGGTGTTTTGTGCAACTGGATTGCGCTTTTCTCTGGACAAGGAGGAATTTGAAAAGGCAGTGAGACTCAAGCACAGCTAAGGAGGTGACTTGGGTCAAGAAGGAGGGCTTCCTGATTGGTGATCAGTTGCCTGGCTGCATCTTTTGAGCATGCCACGAGATCTTAGTAAAAACGAAACTTGGACATGATCTTGCCAGGCTTTGTCTCTCTCCGTCTCTCTCCCCCTCTCTCCACCTCCTGTGCTTCCTGACGTTTGTTTTGTTCTTCCCAGGCAACTGGAGGGCTGCTCAGGCCCAGGCCAACCAACCTTGCAGGAAGGAGTGAGGCAAACACGGCCAATATCAACTGGAAGCCAGGCCCATCTCGGAAACAGAGGCTCTCAGCGAAGAAGCCTTGAAGACGTGACGCCCTGCACTGCAGGCTGTTCTACTGCGGCCCTGGGTTAGCTCTGAACAGCTTAGTGCAGCGGGGCGCCAGATGCCAAGTCAAATCAGGCTGAGAGAATCAGGGGGTGGATGACGCAAATCATTGCAAGCGCGCCAGTCACAACTTGCGGTTCTTTGGATTGGCCCTTGTGCTGGCCATCACAGCGAGCCTGGGGCTTTTCTTATCTTTGGCTTTTTTCGGAGAAATCATGTCGACCAGCAAAAGGTTTGGAGTTTTCAGGGGCCAGTCTCATTTGGGAAGCGAGTTCCAACTTTTGGC